AAAAATAATTTATAAAATTAACTGTTAAATTTAGTAATCTATAACTATACATCACGTGTCTTAATTTTCAAAGTTAATCTAATATCTATAATCATTCTTTTACATTATTAAGTTGTATATAATTTATTAGTGCATGCCAAAAACATCATTAATTTTATAATATGACATGTCAAAAATATTATTAAGCATTCGATGTATACTATTAAGCATGATAATTTTTTTTGAAAACGTTAGTAAGCTTACGATATAATATATCATTATATAATTAGTTTTTTTATTTAAAGATCAACCTGTAATATTATATATATATATTTATTTAATAACCCATTATTCTTATTTAGTGTCACATTATGATTATAAATTTATAATCTTACATAATATTATAAGTATAATATTGTTGTAATTTTTTATGGAGTTCAAAAGTTAATATATATTATTCTCTAAAAACATTACAATTAACATAAGATATTACATATTAATTTTAACTTTCATTAAAAAATTATAGTCTAAATTTTAAAAATGTCACTCTTCAATGAATGAAAACTTATATTTTTTAATATACATTTAATAATTTTAAATTTTATATAATTATTAAAATTAATTAAATATATTCAACTATATATTCAACTAATTTAAATTAGTAAGATATATAGACCAAGTCAATAAACCAGAAAAGGCTTGCTGCTACGAACCAGTCAATAACGAGTCTTCGGTCCTGACTCCCCTTGCCGCCGTATATATAACACAACTCTGTCTCAGTTTATTTAAAAAACAAAAACATAAGATTCATAGCAAAAAATTATGCAGATGAAATTGTTGTTGTGGATGGTGGTGATGATGGTCATATTGCCATCTTCTACCGTTACAGCAAGTTCAAATATTTCTTTAGAAAACTGCCCACAAACATGTGGAAACGTTAGCGTTCCTTTCCCTTACGGATTTGGCCGTCCTGAATGCGCCAAAAACTCATCCTTCCTGCTTGAATGCAACCAGACCGGCAGCCTCTTGTTTGGCGACATTTCAGTTTCCGATATATCATTGGAAAACGGCACCATCACCGGACTCATTCCCTCTGCCTACGCGTGCTACGACCAGAACGGTAGTTTGTCGACAAAGACTATGGGGAGAGTCTTATTCAACGGAAGCTCTTGCATCATATCCCCCACCCACAACAGGTTTATTGGCTTGGGCTGCGACACGATGGCCATGATGATCGACGAAAAAGGAAGGCTCAGAAGTGGGTGCAACACCTTCTGCTATGACCGTGCAGACATCAAGAACGACGGTTCTTGCTCCGGTTTCGGATGCTGCCAGACCTCCATCCCCAAGAACCTCCACCAATTGAAAATTAATGTTACCAGTGCTTATAATCACAAAGATGTTTTGGATTTCAATCCGTGCAGTTATGCTTTTGTGCTTGCAAACTCCTTCAATATATCGGAAATAGACTTCCCTCGGTTCCTTGATTATCCGGATACTGCTCCAATGTGGCCTGTGGCGTTTGAATGGGTGATCGGAGATCACCAAGGCTGCCAAGATTATTGCGGCCCTAATGCTGAATGCTATTACTCCGACACTGGTGGTGGATTTCGTTGTTCGTGCAAGCCAGGGTTCATCGGAAA